GTTTGGGCTGTACCAGAGTCAAAGACTGCAATAACTGTTATGGGAGAGAAATGTTTGTGAGTGAAAATTTGAACTAGGACTAAAGGTAATGTTGGGGGTTAGAAGGTTTCGATTTTTTGAGGTTCTTGGACTGACATATACTCATAGCATTGATCGTTTATAAATTCATCCGAGTCTGAATCTGAAGTATCATCATCAAACTGCTTGATCATAAATAGTGATCTTTCATTCTACTCCTAATTAAGGGAGAAGACTGATTCAAGGTCATCATAAAAAAAATACCAAAAATATTAACAATATCTTAGATTATCTTGACTGATCTTTTGTCTGACTTTTGATAGTTCTTTACATAATGTCCTGATTTTTTATTGAGAAAACATTTTATACTTTTGATCTTTGGGTCTCTCTTCTTTCTTGCAAACTTGAATCTTTGAAATCTTTTAGGCTTTGTTGATTTTCTAAACAGTTTCTTGGATTTGGACAAATGTGAGTTTTTGGGAAGTCAATATTTTGATGTGTTTTTTTTCTTGTTGTTGCAAAAACATATGAAGTCCTTGGAAGAACATTTGATTTGGTGTCCAAATAAAGAGTGAGAGCATGATTTCTCTAACTTTTTGGAGTTGTTTATCAAGTTTTTAATGTATCCATGCTTTGTACAAATCTTGTCAAGGGTTTTCAACATCATCTTGTAAATATCTCCAAGGTTCATGGTTCTAACATCAAGAGATTTGAGATTTAGTTATATTTTTGTCTGTTGTGCAAGTTCTTTTGGAACATACTTTAGAAAAACTTACTTCAGGTTTACATCATCAAATCTATCAAGTATGTAAATATACTAGAAAAACTGTTGATAATGTCTGTCAAGATCTTTTGGATGAAAAAAATAGCATTTTAACTTGAAAAATTATTCTATGATATTTTTTAATTTGTGAGTGTCTTTGTCATAAAATATTACTAAAAACTGAGATATAGTTTCTGTGATAATTGAGCATTGAAAAAACTGCAGTTGTTTGTATTCACCAATATTGTCCCTAAAGTGTTTTAAAATTTCAACTAATCTGAAAATAAATCTAATCAAAATTGTATTCATCGTAAGTTCAGTTCAACTAATCTCCATGCTAATAATTCTTAGAACCTTAAGGGTCATTTTGAATGAGGAATATCATCAATTGTAAAGGTTGAGAACTTTGACATGAAGGGAGGAATATGTGTTTGTTGTGGAGAAGGGTGTTGTTTAGTATCTATTACATCAGAGTTGTGTACTTCTGGGTTACCATTTGAAACTTCAACTGTTGGTTTTGTCATGAAGATCTGAAAAAATTCAAACTCATCTAAATCATCAATATCATCTGCATCAGCTAACTCAATAGTCTCCATCTGAGATTGTCTCAAAAGTAGAAGAAAAAATATCTTTAAGAGAAAATTGAGGGAGATTTTCTTATGCCATCTGATGAATCATTTTTGGAAGGGTTTATGTAAGAGAAATCATGAATTATATAGGTTTTTAATCTATGTGAGGTGTAAAGTTTTGAAATGTAGAACTTGAGCTTGGTTTTAATTTTGAAAGTTGAGAAAGTGATTGCCCGCAACTCTTTTTGGTTTTGGGTTAACTGGTTGTTTTTCTCAAAATTTGTGAATTCATTTTTCAGTTGTACCAAATGAAGGTTGTTCTGTTTGGTTTAAGATATGAGTGAAGTATTGTTTTGGTTGTGAAGATGTTGGTATGGATGTAAGAAAGGGTTTATACTGAAAATGTGTGAATAAAAGTTTTAAGGTTAAGGTTGGAAGATTGTATGATTGGTAAAGAGGAGAAGGGGTATAAGCTTGGTAATAGATGTCATGCATTCCAGTATTGATTGGAGTGAAGATACTGTAGCTGAAAATTGCTTGTTGTCTTTGATGGAGTTGATTTTAAGATCTGCAAGTTGAATCTTAAGACTTTTCATTTATTTCTCTTTCAGTGAAAGCATAAGTGAATCCAGTGTTAGTTTCAGCCATGTATCTGAACTTTTGATCTAAAGTTATTATCCTTGATTGAATTTCAAGAATAATATTTTGAAGATTAACAAGGCTTTGATCAAAATGATGACTGACTTAGTCCAACTTGCGTTCGATTTTATACAAGTATGCATTCTGTTGGAAAAAATTTTAGTCTGTCAGTTTAAAACTGCTTAAGCACGGGAAACACTTTTCTAATTTTCATATTCATTTCTGTTAGTAGGGTTTAGGATTTTTGGGATGTGCTTGTATTGATCTTTTTGAAATTCTTGGAAAGAAAAAAAATATGAGTTGTAAGACTATCCTGGGTAGCCTGGTTACATCATGGATATTTGAGGGAAGGATTGGGTGGAATCTGATTTTTGTGTGATTTGGATTTTACAGGTTTGAGGAAGTTGTTTTTCTTTCTTAGGATAGATGACAATAGTCAAACTTTTCTGAAGGGTCACTAAGGAGATCAACTTTAGGGTTTTCATTCTCATATCTTTCTTTGAGCTGGGAAGGTTTTTTCTTCTTTTGCTTCTTTGGAGTATCATTATCATCATCATTAAGGAAGCTTCTGTATAAGTCCTTTTGATAGCCTTTGCATCTGCAATTAGTATCCCAATAGCAATGTCCTTATGGAGATATGTATGCATATACATGGTTTTCATTATATTAGAAGTGTGGAACTAAAACATCTTGCTCGACTTGACATGTTTGCATCATGAACTATGTTAGAAAGATTGTTGGAAGAGGAACATCTTTTCCTTTGCTATGAGCAAACTCAATTGTTATAGTGCTATCCTGATTTGTCTTATAAAGTATTGAAATGGGTTCAGTTTGCTTCCAAATCTTTTGATAACTTGTCGTCCACGACTTTGGGAATAGTGTGGCAAATACCTCATTTGAGATTTACTTTGAAATGTGAACATGTCTAGGATTCTTGTCTACTGCTTCCATCTTTACAAAGATAGCATCACCAGAGTGAGAAAGAGAAGTTAATGGCAGGATCTTAAACTCTATATGCCATCTGGCAGTGAAAGGTTGCTTGAAGTTCTTTCATATCAGTACCTATAATCTGTACTTAAACTTTCAAAGCATTTAACAGTGTTGTGTCATGAAGAGACGTATTATAATTTGGAAAGATTGTGAAAAAGATAATTCCTGCATTAAGTGCTGTCTCAACTATACCAAGTGCTGCATGCTTGTATTCTTTGAATTTTATATCTAACAAGGCCATTTTGGAACATACAGGAATACCATTTTTGTCATGAAAGGTCAAAGCTAATCTGATAGCACCAAAGTGGATATAAGTGTATCCTTGTTCTGACTACTATTGAGAAAATTCTTTTGGGATCTAAAGAGTAACAAAGTGCTCTTGAGTTCCTGTTGGAAGAATACATTGGTCAAAATTTGTGGCTTGAACATACTCTTTTAGAGCTTGGTATTTTGGTTTTAAAAAGATTTTTAGAGATCTAATAAGAGAAGTGGAAGAGTTTGAGAAAGCTATATAAGGATTTACAAGAGGAAGAACTATTTGTTTGGTTTTCTTTTCTTCTAGAATATAATCTATATACTTCATACAAGAATTTTAACTTAGAAGAAAAAGACTTTTTAAGTACAGGAGAAGGGTAAGAAGACAAACTAAAAGAAGATCTAGAAGTAGAAGATTGAGAACTGAAACTAGCTAATAAATCCACGAAAATAAAACTCTCTTTTCACTTTTCCTATCTAACTTCAATAATCAAGAATCAAAAACAAAATTTCTTCTCTCTATTCAAAACTGCACTCTGATACCTTTTAAACACAGCGGCAGGTAATAGGTGCCAGGGTTTTGGCAACTGATGGCTTCAATTCCGAGCTCTTCTAGTGGTAGAGTCAAGACATCGATACTATCCGATACTATTTCAACAGCGTGTGGATCGGTTGCTCTATTAAGATAATACCAAACATAAGCAATCCATAGATCAGACATATAACCAACGTATTCTAGTCGGTGTTCAAAACTCTGGCGCCCTCTTAGCTTATTGTCAAACTGGTGGCCTAACTTTTATGATCCATTTATTTCACCCTTTCAAGAAAAATTAGTCACTTTTCCGTAGTAAAATGAATCAATTTGATATAACAAAACGAGACTACTAAACAAGCATATTTAAAACTAGTTAGGCCAGTTATATGTAATCTATATGCATGCCGCCTTTGTCTAAGGCAACAAGCTGCTCTAAAGACCCATCTTCACTTTCATGGCTTCCTCTATTTGTTGTGGTGCATAGAGAGGTTAATGAGATCATGCACTCAAAATAACATGACAATGTATTATGTTATTTGCATGATGACTATAGAAACAACATATTGCCATCTTCATAACAAGCTTAGGTCTTCTTGATGGACCCAACAAAGAATACCAGTTGGTGAGGGATCGAACCTCTAGAGACGCATGTAAAATAATTCAGGATGCTTAGAATGTAGTTAGCCTGTGGCATAACAAGAAATGATGCATCATCATAAAATTCTCGAGGACACCACATCGTGTGTGATCGTCCTGTGAGGATTTTAATAAAACAGAAACCCAAGTAACCTTTATTGCTAAATTCATCATTTATAGGTATCATGAAATATAAGCATCTGCATTTATCACATATTTCTTCTTTTCCATTTGAACACCCATTTTCTTAAGTAACCAACCAATTTTGGATATATTTCTTTGCAAAAGAATTGGAGGGTGTATTTAAGTTCTATCAAGGCATACAGTCTGGAACTTCAAAGGATGTGACTGACTGATGAGGATTACACTTCCCTGAACAGCAAAAAGATTAAGAGAGAATTTTATAGGGAAAAAATACGCACCCAAAAGGAAAAAAAAGTGTTTACTTCTTCTAAAGCTAAATATGGTGTCATGGGAGTCTCTTTTCATAGAAATTTCACTAATAAAATGATATATAGATTGAATAGGTTATGTGATTAATCAAAAGATTCATTGGTCATTTAAAAAATCTAACAAAGGCCTATATGTTGCATCATTATGTTTGGATACCTCAAAATCAGCAAATGCAACTGGCATTCCACTAATCACAAGATTCTTGGGTCATTTAAAAAATCTAACAAAACAAAGGCTTATATGTTGCATCATTATGTTTGCATACCTCAAAATCAGCAAATGCAACTGGCATTCGACTTTTAGCCCAAATCTTGACCATACTGAATCCAGGATACCTGCAACCAGAAAGAATTGAATCAACCAGTTTCTTATCCCTACATTTTAAAGAGACACTAGGGGTAAAGACATGCTTAGAGGGAAAAGATAAAAAACCGAACATTTTGTTCTTTTCAACCAGAATATATTAATACATAATGATTAGCGCCACAACTCACTGAGATAGAACTTGCTTCAGTTCATCTTCATTGCAATTTGGACTTAGATTTGTTATAAACAAAGTAGAGCATGGTTGAACACCTTCATCAATAGGCCTTTACACCTGCTCCTGGAGTAACAATCAAAATTAAGTGCAGGGTCAAAATATTTTGACAAAAATAACTTAGAAGAAAGTGCCTCTTGAATTTTGTCTTAAAGACCATGATCTTTACAACCTTTATCCTTCATTGGTAAAATTGAGACAAACTCTACATTACATTTGCAGAATAAAAGTGGTTTCTACTTACAATTGAGACAACCTTTATCAAATGCTCATATTATGATGGGAAGCAGAATAAAGTGGTTTCTACTTACATTTGCAGCCACTACAGCATTTTCTGGATCCAGTACTGCCTCACTGCAAATTACTAGACAATAAGGTAATATTAGTAATGCAATAGGAAACTGACAGGGTTAATTAAATAAGTGATTCTTCATTTTTTACTTGTAATACAAAGCTTTTCTCACTGTTTAGGCTTGACATATAGAAGCTTAAAATATTAGACTTTTAACTAAAAAAATAACGCATCTTCAGAGTTTTCAACCTCTTTACAGTTTTCAAATCATCTTTGTTTGAAGAATCAGCACTGTTGGACGCAGATGGTTCTTCAGTGTTGCTGCCTCCTGAATATGGAAAATCATACTAGTATGCGTAGGTGATAAGGGATCATGTTGAGGATGCAGAGTCTCCCTCCTGTAGAATGGTAGATATGCACTTTTTATTCTTTCTAAACCACAAGGGAAAAGGTCGAGAGGATTTTATGAGCTTACTATCTTCATTTGATGTTTCTTGGGTATTAGCAAAGGCCTTAGTTCTTCTATCAGTAACAACATAAGAACCAGTGCCTGAGCGAGGAAAAGTTGAGCATACTATAATAGTTTTGGAGATGAACAGCATTAAAGTTTCAATCAATAGAACAACTTAAGACATTATCTACCAGGTTCCTGTTTTCTCCTTGAGTTTGATCTCGCTAGTTCAATAAGCAGAACAGATCCCAATTGAGGATCAAACTTTACACCCTAAACATGGTCAATCAAAAGAATGAACAGAATAAAAATTCACAGGAATCTCCAAAAGTTTCAAGAATTCTTGTTACTCAATAATACTCACATTTAATGCATGCATTGCTGCAAGCATGGATTGATGATTGAGGAAAGTAGCAAATGCAACAACCTGTATTCATGAGATGCAGCCCCCATTACATTGCTTTTCCAAATATTATTTGTCTTAAAAGTGCAAAAACAATAAACTTCTGCTTGGATTATCAAACAATACGCGTCAAAGAGTATATTAAAAGGGCAGCAACTTACATATTTCCCCCTTTCTGTTATTGTTTTCTAGTAGTTTTCTTTTGTGAAAGAACCCTAGAAGAAGTGTTGAACAATAATATGATCATAAAACAAAATGCAGAAATACAAATATAAAAAAGTGGCCAATACTACCATTAGATAACGATAAAGAAGTCATAAGAAATTATATGAAAGGTAAAGAAGTAAATGAAAATATTGTTCTTGATAGAAACGAGTAGTACAAGAAGATTCAAAACTACGAACTATAATCTAACATGATTCTTTTATTTTGCCTTTCATGGTGGACTCCATGGTTTCGGATACAAGGCTTAGTTTGTTATCGTTGTTGTAAAAAGTCATTTTTTCTTTCTCAAAATAGCTAAAAGATGAGCAAATAGTTAAAATTTAACATCAACTCAAACAGAACAGTTCACATAAAAAGTAAGACAGCAATTGTTGTTATTGACAAAATATTTTTTTTATATATTTTTTCTTTTAGTTATTGACAAAATATTTTTTTCCTTTTAATTGTCCAAAGGTATTGCTTTTAAATCCAAATGTACATCTGTAAAAAAAAAGTTAGAAATAGGAGAATTAAAACTCACATTGCTTATAAAATTTTTACCTAAATAAAATTTAATTCAACTGTTTCTAAATTCAAATTGTTTTCATAATTCCTTAAAATAGAAGTTATAAAACAGAGAGAATAAACTAAGCTACGAGTCCTCATTGCAATTTCTCGCTAGGAATGAATGAACGAATTTTTCTCGGAAACCAAACAGCAAGTAAAAGGATTTGCCAAAATTCAAGGTTATGTATCTGGTTGCCACGGCCAGTGTACTTGAGCTGGAAAGAGTCGAAGTCGGCGCGCCGCCGAGAAAGGTTGTGATCACACGCGCCTTGACGTCCTCCGGGAGGCCCGGAACGAAGAGCGTGTTGATCAAGTTTCGGTCTTGGTCAGGTTGAAGGTAATAGGGATCGTATTCGTATGGTGGCCGCCCCATTGGTTTCTTTTTGTGTAGGCCTCTTACGAGAGACTGATGGACAGCTCTAATTAGAGATAGCTTAGAGGCGGTTATCGCCGGCGGCGGTGAAAACAGTTAGTAGAGATAGAGGGGTTTACAGCAAAGTTATTAATACACTACCGTAGGTATCGGTTGTTTGTATATTATTTCGATTTTTTGATTTAGTAAAAATATATTTATAAATATATATCAATTTATATATAATAATAATAATAATACTAATGTTATATCAACAAAATTAAATAAATAAATTTTAAAATTTTAAAAATAATATAATCAATATATCATATATTTTAAATAAAATAAATATACAATATAATTATATGATATCTAAATGAGTTTTTTTATTTATATATTAAGATAAAAACAAAATGTTGAAAAAAATAATTTTAATTTTATGATTATTAAATTTTAAAAAGAAAACATAATTATTTTTTTGAAAGATATTAAAATATTTATAATTTTAATTTTAAAAAATATAATACAAAAAAAGTTACAATAAAAAATTAAAAAAATTTAAAATTTAAAAGTTATATGTTAATTAATTTTATTTTTATTAAATTAAAAATAATTAAATTATAAAAAAATAAAAATTATAAAACTTATGTCATATTCACATATCAATAAAAATAAATTAATTATCAAAATTTATTGAAATTAACCAAAACAAATAAAAATGATTAACCAAAACAAATAAAAACAATCAATATAACCTGATATCAAATCCAATATATTTATTATTTTTTGATATAATTAAAATATATCTATTGATACAAATAACATCGAAACAAAATTAACACAATTTGCTTAGACAGAAGAGTGGAAGAAAGCTCAATTTCTGTTTTCCCTTTTTTCCACTCATTTGCTTTTTAATTGTGAATTTATCAAAATATCCAGTTTCTTCTTGTCCTTAACAAATCGTAGCTGATGGAGATTAACGGCGAATCGGCAATTGAAGGCCTCCGGTTAGGGGTTTTTCCGAACTAAATAGGAGTAAAGGACTAAATCCTTACTTTTCCAAGTGTCTGCAGAATTTCTACATAAACTATTTTATATTGGCCAAAAAATAGTTCGTATATTTCTTTTGGACAAATTATTTCATTTATAATAAGTAAAGTTTTTAAATTTAGATGATATATATTTAAAAAATTAAAAAAATAAAATATATATTTATCATAATATATAGATCCGTGGTTATAACGTTAAACATAAATTTTAAGAGTCATTATAAATATTTTTTATTGAGGTACGATTAGTCACATGACTGAATCTATCATATTTAAAAAAAAGTTTCAAATTTGATTTAAGTATATTTAAATAGTAAATTTTAACATATAAAACTAGATTTTAAGTTCGAAAGTATGATTATGTGTGAGAAAAGTTATTTTACCCTCACAGTGCCATCCAGAAGATTGTATCGATTTAATTTCAAATTATCAAAGCCATAAAGTCTCTTTGTAAATTTATCAAATAATTTAATTATTAAAAATTAATCTTAAAATTACTCCAATAGTTCGGTAGTAATTTAAGATAATTTTCTCATCTTAAGAGTATTTATGAAGACTAGCATCTTCCTTTAAAGATGTTTCATCGTTAGATTTGCTAATATATTTTTATTTAAGAAAATAATTAATAAAATCTTTCAATAATTTAGTAAAATTTACTTTGATATAGATGTTTCAATAGTTTAGTGAAATTTTCTTGTAAATTCATTTTTAAAAAATGTATTAAATCTTTCAATAATTTGATAAAATTTAATTTAAGATACAAATCCTTCAATAATTTAGTAGAATTAAAACAAAATATTTTATTAGTAAAAATTAATTTATGAGATTCTCTAATGTTCGGTAAAATTCATAAAAACTTTAAATCCATGAAAAATATTCTAGTAATTTAGTAAGATTTATGAATCTAATTTAAAATATTGTTGGTCATTTTTTAATAAACAAATGATTAAAATAAAGAATTTTTTTAAAAAATAAACAAATAAATAAGTAAAAAAAACAAAAATTGCTCAATTTAAAGTACTGAATGAAATGATGATGATGATGATAATAATAATAATAATAATAATAATAATAATAATAAAAAAAAAAAGATCTAAAAAAAAATAAAATGAAATAAAAATGAAAACAAAAAATAAATTAAAAAAGAAAAGGAATTACCTACAGAATCGATCGGGTTGTGCAAGCCAATGGTGCATGGATCCCATGTGGGTCAATTGGATCCTGACTTAGCTAAAAACAACGTCGTTTTGATCATGTATATAAACAAAAAATTTGGCTTTTCCTTCAGAAGGTCTGGGCTTTTTCTCTCTCTAGAAAAAATTTTCTCCAACCTCTTTCTAAGTCCACAAAAAAACTAAGAACACTAGCCAACAAACTCTAGATTTTGACATTGAAAAATTCAACTGACTATTGAAAGTTTCAAATAGACCCAGAAATCACCATTTAAGATCATTCGACCACCGTGAATATTATCGAAATCTTTAAAGTCCAATAAAAAAAGTCATGATTAACCCAAAAAACCTAATTTTTTTTTCAAAAAAAAAAAAGCTTTTCCCAGAAAAACCTAAATTTTAACTTGGATTTCTAGAAAATAACCTAAATCTAAACATTTAATTCCAACCAAAAAAAAAAAAAAAACTTCCTAGTAGATTTTCAAACATGAATTCCAAAAACCTAAAAAGCTTTAAAACCCAAAAATCAAAATAAAATCCAAGTCAATATTCCCAAATTCCAGTAATCCACAAATCCAAAAGACAAAACTCTAAAAGAGCCTCACTTTCAACATTGAGATTTCAAGAAACCCGGAAACAAATTCTAATTAAAAGTTGATCTCCCTCATACTAAGAACCATTACCTAGAATTAAAACCCAAAATCTTTTCGTTAAAGTTAATTGTGTCATTCTCCTTTTGATGTGATTTTTGGGCACCATTTATAGGCGTTTTCAACAGAATTTTTAGAAATTGATCAAATTTATCTTTGAATAGATTCAATCCTAATCAGTCCTTAAATCCTGAGATTTAATCTTGTTTAATGGAGGTCAATGCTTACTAATT